TCAAAATAAAACATAACTAACATTACTAAAATTTCAGTATTTGATAGCAACTGCAATTCTATTTGGATAGCCTTTTCACATCTGTAAGTAAACCAAATATATCTCAAAAATTTGTTTGATCAAATATTTACTCTACAGCTCAACCTTTTAAAAACAGGCAAAGAATTCTACAACTACAAAAAGAACAAGATCTGGAACTTTCATGTGAATGCATCTCTTTGTTATAAAAAAGACATTAAGGAAGAAAAAAAAAAACTGTCCTTATTTATTAATGCCTGCCTGTTTTTAATCCCAGGAAATTTCCTTTACATCCCCTCCTAGCTCTGGCCAGCCAAAACTGTAGGTATACTACTCTATTCATTCCTTTACCAGCAATATACTATACTAACACTATTTACATTTAAAATTGATTTTTTTGGACAATTCCAAATTCCACACTCACTTGCCCAGAGCTGAATTTAAAAATAATTTATTAAACATGATGCTGTCATTCCTCCACTCAAGCTTTTGGTGGTGAGCCACTATGGATAACAGTATGGCAGTTCCTCAAAAATTTAGAATTGAAATACCATATGATCCAGTAATTCTACTTCTGGTTATATACCTAAAAGAATCAAGAGGACAGATTCAAACAAATAATTGTACACCCAAGTTCACAACAGCACTAATGATTCACAATAGTCAAAACATGGGGAAAAAGTGTCCACTGACAGATAAATAGGTAAACAAAATATGGTTCAGCAGTCCCCCATAATTCACAAGGGTTATGTCCCAAGGATTCCCAATGGATGCATGAAACTGAGGATAGTACCAAACTATCCTCATATATGTATATGTACATTATGTTTTTTCCTATACATACATACCTACGATAAAGTTTAATTTATAAATTCAGCACAGTAAGAGAATATAGTAGAATGATCTCAGCAATAATGTATACTGTGATAATAGTTATGTGAAAATGATCTCTCAAAATCTCTTATACTGTACTCACCTTTCTTCTTTGATGATGTGAGATGATAAAATGCCTACATGATGAGATAAAGTGAGGTGAATGACCCAGGCATTGTGGCGTAGCATTAGGCTACTACTGACCTGCTGATTATACATCAGGAGGATCATCTACTTCCAGACAACAGCTGACCAAGGGTAAGTGAAACCAAGGAAAGCAAAACCACAGATGATGGAAGACTGCTGTATATACATCCAGAGGAACCGTAGTCAGCCTTTTTAAAAACGAAGGGAATTCTGACACTTACTGCTATCTGGATGAACATTGGCAATTTCATGCTAAGTAAAATAAGCCAGCTACAAAAATATAAATACTGCGTGATTCCACTTATGAGGTACCCAGAAAACTCACATTCATAGACAGAAAATAGAATGGTGGTGGCTGCCAGGGGATGGAGTTCAGAAAAATGGGAAGTTACTGTTTAATGGTTAATGTTACAGTTTTGTAAGATAAAAAGATTTCTAGAGATGGGTGGTGGTGATGGCTGCACAACAATGTAAATGTATGTGATGTCACTGAACTGGACACTTAAAATGGCAAATTAAGATGGTAAATTTTATGTTCTGTGTATTTCACCACAATTTTTAAAAACTTTTAATTGAGGGGTGACTGGGTGGCTCAGTTGGTTGAGCGTCCAACTCTTGGTCTCAGCTCAGATCATGATCCCAGGGTCATGGGATTGAGCCTTCCCCTGCTTATGATTCTCTCTCTCTGCCCCCTCCCCTGCTCACATTCTCTCTCTCTCTTTCAAAGAAAATAAATAAAAATTAAAAAGTCAATAAAAATCCTGTCCCTTTCTCAAAAAAGGATGGCAAACCAATTAGCAGTCATTGAACTATAGAGAACAGACTGATGCTTGCGAGTGGGAGGATGGGTTAAACAGGTGATGGGAATGAAGGAGTGCACCTGTAGGGGTGCCTTGGTGGCTCAGTCCACTGAGTGACGAACTCTTTTTTTTTTTTAATGTTTTTACTTATTTGTGAGAGAGAGAGAGAGAGAGAGAGGAGGGGAGGGTCAGAGAGAAAAGGAGACACAGAAACTGAAGAAGGCTCCAGGCTCTGAACTAGCTGTCAGCACAGAGCCCTACGCGGGGCTCGAACCCATGAACCGTGAGATCATGACCTGAGCTGAAGTCAGACGCTTAAGCGACTGAGCCACCCAGACGTCCATAAGTGCCCAACTCTTGATTTTGGAGCTCATGGTACTAGGATCAAGCCATGTTGGGCTCTGTGCTGACAGCATGGAGACTGCTTGAGATTCTCTCTCCCCCTCTCTCTCTCATGTCCCACACACTCAGGTATGCATTCATGCGTTCATGCTCTCTAAACAAACATTTAAAAATCATGTCCCCTTCTACAAAGGCAGCACTGAGCTCTCAAAATTACTATTAATTTCATGGTCATATGTTCACTTTTGGGTAGAGAAACTGATTTGCTCAGTTACAGAAGAAACCAGCACCTTTCAAATACCTACATTATATGACTTGAACTGCAATCTTTAAAATTACCTAGTTTCTGCTAACTAGATCAATGTTAATTTTTTTAAGTTAATCCTATGAAAAGTTTATTTAATATAAAAACACAGGAATAATCGATTTTAAAAGTAAGTCCACAGAGCAAACTGATCTGGGATCATTTGTGAGAGGAATATGAGGTTCCTAAAAACATAAAAGGCTAATGTGCTCAATATGTATATAGTTTCTAAATAATTTTTTTATTCTGCCAGTAATGTTCTTATCTACTTGACAATATGAAAGAAACCTTAACCATTTGGCAAACACTGAGAATGCCATAGTTTTTTCCCATTTTGTAAACAACTGTTCACCTCAGTGCCACTGGTTTTAAGAGAGAAACTTAGTAGAATATATTCATGTGATCAAAATTAACTCCCAAATGCTTGTCAGAACATCTTACTTTGTCTGAATACAAGAATCCTAAATTTCCTACTTTAGGCCAGTATAAGGTTCATAGTAAGCATAATAACTGTCATAAATGGGAACAAGCAGCTACAAGTTGTCAGAGGAAGGAAACAGTTTGGTGAAATCTCAACAAAGTTACACTTACCTTAAAGCTTTTAATGAGGTAAACGACTCTAAATTCTCTAAATCCATTCCTACCAGAACATGCCAATTTTATTTTTTTAGTGTTTATTTATTTATTCTAAGGCAGGGAGGGGGGGTAGCAGAGGGGCAGAGAGAGAGGGAGACAGAGAATCTCAAGCAGGCTCCAAGCTGTCAGCACAGAAGCCACACGGAGCTTGATCTTATGAACCATAAGATCATGACCTGAGCCAAAATCAAGAGTCAGATGCCAAATCCACTGAGCCACCCAGACATCCCAGAACATTACAATTTTATAACATGATAAACTACTCCTAGAAATAGAGTCCTTTTTCATACAACCATACTCCACATTAGATAAAAGATTATAGAGAATGAAAAAAAAAAAAAGAAAACATAGGCAAAAAAAAGTCCCAGGCCGTGCTAATCGTACAAAATCCCAAAATCTCATGGTCAACTTTTATTATCAAAACACTTCTTTCTGTCTGAGTTTGGAAGTTACAGTATAATCAAATACAGACACATCCATATTCCCAATAAATCTGATAACACCAGGTGAGAACAAACCCTGGAAATGGCCATTACAATATTACGTTGTAAAATAAGGAATATTTTAAAAATCAGAGAAAGAGGGAGAAAAGAAGCCCAAATCATTGAGAATCTCACTGAGAAAAAATACCACTTGGGGCTCCTGGGTGGCTCAGTCGGTTGAGCATCTCACTTCGGCTCAGGTCATGATCTCGCGGTTTGTGAGTTCAGGTCCTACATCGGGCTCTGTGCTGACAGCCTGGAGCCTGCTTCAGATTCTATGTTTCCCTCTCTATCTGCCCCTCCCTCTCTCATGCTCGCGTGCGCTCTCTCTCCCTCTCAAAAATAAATAAAAACATTAAAAAAAAATACCACCTATTGTGCTAGGGTTAGACCATGATGTGCAACGATGACAGTATTACAGAAAGAAAAGTCTGTCTATATATAACAGAAGCTTGTAAATTAATCTCAAAATGACTGGTTAACAATATCTCACTACAATAATTTTTTCACCAAACATCAAAGATGGTGTACACAGGGTATTAGCTCTAACCTCAAGTCTTTAATGATGAGGGACAACTCTACTTTCAAAGGGCCTTCCTAAGATACTTATATATTAGTATAACTACAGTTGGGCGAAGTAAAGGTATAACCTTTACTTATCCTTTAAATTATCCTGGAATTGGGACGCCAACCAAGCAATTCAAATCTGTAGAAGAGGTGAATCCGCAAATATGAATTGGTGATTTATTAAGCTTATGAATTCACCGCAAAGATACTCTGGTATATACTATTTGCCTCCTCCTTATCTTCATGCCCTCCAAAGATTCCAACAAGACATCAAAGTCTCAAATGTTTATATCTCCCTGAAAAAGACCATACCCTCACCATTACCTTCGCCACCTTGTACTCCTTATTTTTTACTCTCCTAATACACCACACCCATACCACCACGCTCTCCACACCCACACTCCACTCTCAAGGAACAACCCAAAACTCCTGACCCCAAATACCCCATACTTAAAAGCCCCACACTGAATACCCCCAAATGCTACCCATTCTCCACATTACACAGTCCACGCACATACACTAAACTAAGTATTATTAACACTCCTCACCCAACAAATTCGCACGTAACACCCAACCCAGAATATGAACTGCACGTTCCCAGATGGTTCACCACACCACACACACACACACACACACACACGTTTCCGGATGGTACAACACGCATACACACACACACACACACAACACGCACACGCACGCGCCACGTACCATACAAAAGCCCAAACCACACACCACTGCAGAGCTCAAACAAACCTAGAGAAGAGGCAACCCTTCTGGCAACAGGAACCCACGAGGTTGGAGGTGGAAGGGAAACAGGGCCAGATACTTCACCTGAAAATCCGCCAGGATCATCTCCCGGTCCATATTGGACGCCATGGCGGCCGCCGAGTTCCGCGGCTCCGGGAGCGAAGCGCGCACCTGGGAGGGAAACGGCGCCTCCTGCGGCCGTCGCCGCCGCCGCCGCCGCCGCCGGGCGCCGAGGGGCTGGCGGGCAAGCCGGCGGGCGGGCCGGCGGGCCGGCGGGCGGGGCAGCGCGGGAGACTAGGCGCTCATGCACTCAGTAACCTTCAGGCGCCCGGGCCGCCTGCCTGCGCCCCGTGGAGCCCGCGCCGCAGCCGCCCTGATAGGGAGGTTGGTCTAGATACCGGTCTGGTCTTCCTGTGGCTGGCCAGGATGAGGGCAGGTTACGACAGCGCGCACCCGGCTCCCTTCAGCTGCGGCGAAACCGGCGGGGGCGGGGAAACCAGGCGAACAAGCAGGCGGGCGAACCCCACGGCCGCCTCCGCCTCCTCCGCTTCCTCCCTGGCCGCCGCCTCCGCCCCTGGTTGGCCGGCGCCACGGCTGTCGCACATTTTGCCTGTCATCGAGGTCGCAAAGCAGTGCTTTGCGGCTGCCACGTGACTGTTTTCCTGTCAAGTGCTGGGCGCGCGACTACCAGGCGAGGATCCGCGCGCCGCTGGTGAGACGCCAACCAGCAACTGCGGGAGCTTGAAATCCCGCAACAGGTTATTCCGGTTTGGAATTAAGCAAAGGCCTAGGGATATTGCCTCCCCCTGGCTGGGGCCGGGATGAGATTCGGAGCCTTACGAGGTTACATAGCCACAGAAATACACATCAAGCCCCAGAAACCAATTCAACACTCTCACAACTTGTTTTACAAACAGCGTTTCATAAATGTTCATTTTCTCTAACAAAGTCTCACCAGAATACAATTTCATATAGTCTTTTAGTCTCAACCTCACTGTCAAAACCTGCTTACACACTGTCAGACTCAAATGCAAATCCCCTGACCCCTGCATCCTCAGACTCTCAGTAACAGAGGTAACCAGACTCCCAAGATAGATATGCGGGAAACATGAAGGCTGAGAAAGGTGAGACTATCGACCTCCCCCCCCCCAAAAAAATTAGCATTTTTTAGTTATGAGAAAAAAATTTTTTTCTATTCCTAAAGCATAACATTTTTTTGACCTGAGGCGACATCTTACAAGTGGGGAAAATGTGAGTCCAGCTTTGAATAGTCACTTTAAAATACATCCATAAGTGAAGAAATTATATTAAAATACTCACCAATTACTAAAAGTTTCTGTTTATGGTCAGCAGTTGACAAGCTTTGAGACAAGAATACTCAAAGGCTATGTAATGAAGTATGCCCATTTGTAATTGTCTTACTGGCTGTAGGAAAAGTGACAGTGGGATATGTTTAAATTTGACTTGAGAAAATATCATCTTCTGATCTGTGGTAGAGCATGACTTGCCTTGGAAAGTACATAAACCCTGAAAATGTGAAGTAAGATTGCTGATTTTGTGCTGTAAAGCAGATATTAGTGAAATCATCATGTAGAACAAGGCCTAACTCTTTGTATCCCTGAACACAAAGATCACTATGGTATTCTAAAGATCTAAATTTATTCTGTGTTTTCCTTAAATGAAAATAGTCTGGCCTACAACTCTCATGCAATAATCTGTATTTAGACCAGAATTAGCTAGATAAGGAATAGAACCCTCCATAGTCACATGAATTGAAATGTCTTGTTTAATTGCCATCCCATTGGAAGTAATTCCAAAATAAAGCACAAATATGAATCATGAGGTGAAACACAGAACCAGCAATTCAAGTGTGGCAATTTAGTTGCCCCATTCATGTAACTCATTCTCAGCCCAAGGTTGGTGAATAATTTCCTGGTTACATGGTCAGGATTAATGCAGCCCTGAAAAGTTGAAGTTTTTCCTCTGTGATGGCATGTGTATATACTGCAGAACCCAATCAGATCCAGTGTTCATCCCTTTTTCCTCCCTTTTCTCCATCTGGAAATTAAAACAATGTGTTAATGTAGAAAGATGGGAAGAATACCCTACACATCAGGTATATAGGTTCTAGTACTGCTTTCCTAGCTAATTAACTGAGGGAACTTGGATGTGTCTCCTAGACTCTCTGACTTAATCTTCTGACATGACTGTTGGAGGTGATAAAACAATCATGAGAATGGATGGAAAAAATATTTTAACAAAATGAGCATAGATTTCATAGCATTACTGGGCTTTAGATCTAATTATTCCCCTTAACAACAATAACAAAATTCTCCAAGTCTCATGTCTTTATCTCTAAAATGCGGCTTATAAACGGACACATGAAAAAATACTCAACATCACTCATCATCAAGGAAATACAAATCAAAACCATAAAGAGATACCACCCCCCACCTGTCAGAATGGCTGACATTAATAACTCAGACAACAACAGATGTTGGCGAGGATGCGGAGAAAGAGGATCTCTTTTGCACTGCTGGTGGGAATGCAAACTGGTAAAGAGTATGGAGGTTCCTCAAAAAATTAAAAATAGAACTACCCTACGACCCAGCAATTGCACTACTAGGTATTTATCCAAGGGATACAGGTATGCTGTTTCGAAGGGGCACATGCACCCCAATGTTTATAACAGCACTATCGACAATAGCCAAAGTACGGGAAGAATCCAAATGCCCATCGATGTATGAAGGGATAAATAAGATGTGGTATAGGGGTGCCTGGGTGGCTCAGTTGAGCATCCGACTTCGGCTCAGGTCATGATCTCATGTTTCATGGGTTCGGGCCCCGTGTCAGTCTATGTGCTGACAGCCAGCTCAGAGCCTGGAGCCTGTTTCAGATTCTGTATCTCCCTCTCTCTCTGACCCTCCCCTGCTCATGCTGTGTGTGTGTGTGTGTCTCTCTCTCTCTCTCAGAAATAAACAAAACATTAAAAAAAATTTTTTTTTTAAGATGTGGTATATATATGCAATGGAGTATTACTTGGCAATCAAAAAGAATGAGATCTTGCCATTCGCAACTACATGGATGGAACTAGAGGGTATTAGGCTAAGTGGAATTAGTCAGAGAAAGACAAATATATGACTTCACTCATATGAGGACTTAAAGACACAGAACAGATGAACATAAGGGAGGAGAAGCAAAAATAATATAAAAACAGGGAGGGGGACAAAAAGTAAGGGACTCAAATATGGGGAACAAACAGGGTTATTGGAGGGGTTGTGGGCGGAGGGGGGGGCCAAATGGGGCATTAAGGAATCTACTCCTGAATTCATTGTTGCACTATATGCTAACTTGGATGTAAATTTAAAAAATAAATTTAAAAAACACAAGTAAATAAAATGGGGCTTATGAAACTTATAGAGTAATTGTGGATATTGAGTATATAATGCTTGTGAAAAATTTTCAGAAACCATAAAGCTCTCCAAACATTAGTTGCTATTACTCTGTATACCAATTCCTGAATGTTTATATGAAGCCCACCTTTTTCATAAAACAAGACAACAAGGATTCTTCTGCTTTCTAATCGCTGCTCTTTCTGTCTTTACAACAGAATTTAATGCTCTGGTAAATTCTGTAACTTTTTTCTCTAATTGTTTCATCTATTAATGTTTTAATCTCTCCCCAGAGGCTGAAAGTTCCTTGATATTATAAGCTATTTCATCCAGTGTGTTTTTATATTTACCATAATTCATAGATAGCAAAGTATTGGATATATAATAACAACCAATACTTTTGAATTTATTAACTTATTGGATGTCTAGTATGTATACATATTTTACATATCTTGTCTCATTTAATTCTCACAACAACCATCTTATAGAATAAAACCCTGCTCTGAGAGGTTAAGAATTTGCCCAAAGTCATGCTACAAAGTGACAGACCTAGTATTCAAGGCTAGGTCAAAACTAGTGCTCTTTCAACTTACCCTGTTACTTCCCTGAAATTCACCCTCCATGTTGCAAAGTTTATACATTTCCCGAAGAGACTGATTTTTCCCTATGATCTACCTATTCATGATTGGGTACATAGCATCCAAAGTAATTGTCCACTGCAGAAAACAAAAGGAAAGAAAAATAAATATTGAATTAAAATATAGTTATTTTTCATTTCCCCAGAATTATTTTCTTAGAAACAATTTCATTTCAGTATCACAAAGTGAGAGAATAAAAATATATAGTGGTTGTACATAATCATGAGCATAGGAAAATAATTTTAATCTATCCATTCTCATAGTTGATCTACTGCATAAACTCATGGAGCAGCCTAATTCAAATACAAGTTTTTTTTCTAGAATCTCTATGTTCTTTTATCTTACCATTACTGTTTTAAAAGGAATTTTTATTTCATCTTTCTTTCATATATATGTGATAAAGGTTATTTGTAGTCATTTTGCTGAATTTTCATTTGAAATAATTTTAGATTTATATTTACTTACCTTCTATCCAGCTTCCTCTAATGTTACCGTCTTACATAATCATGGTACAGCTATCAAACTGAGAAATTAACATCGGTATAATACTATTAATCAAATTTTAGAGCTTTTTGGATTTTTACATTAACGTCTGTTTTCTGTTTCAGGGTCCAATCCAGAATATATTATATATAGCCATTTATCTCCTTAATAAATTTATTTCCTAAGTTTCCTTAGCCACTTTCAATCCATGATAGTTTCTCAATCTTGAGTTTTGAAGAGTAGTGGTCAGGAATTTTAGAATATCCCTCAAATTGGGTTTGTCTAAAATTTTGTCAGAATTATAGTGTTTATGGATTTGGGAAGAAGAATACCACAGAAGTGATGTGCCCTTATCAAGTACTATCAAGGCACGTGATATCAACATAACTTATTACTGGTGGAGTTAACCTTAACTCTTTGGTTAAGTTAATCAAGCATTTTAACAATACTATTCACTTCTAATGTAATTCATAAGAAGATTAACTCTACTACAGAGTTAGATCTATACTTGAGTAATCAAAAATATATTTTATCTAATGATTTGATGTTCTTTAGGAGTCTAGTGTATGATCCTGGACTCTTAACTAATGGGAAAGGCATAAGATTTGGGGCCCCAAGATCTGAGTCCAAATCCTATATCCACTACTTACTGGCTTTAAGTCATAATCTCTAAAAAGCCTCAATTGCTTCACCTGAAAAATAGGGATAGTTACCATATTTTAACTCAGAAAAAATGGGAATAGTTACCATATTTAATTAAGAATTGTAAAGATTAAATAATGTGTGCACCATACATTATAACCATGAAACAATATACATATATTAATTATTGCTATTATGTTTAAGTTTTTGAGTTACTTACTGGGCATTTATTTTCTTACTTTACAAAATGACTTTCATAAGTGGTTGAAGTACCCATATAAGAAAGCCTACTGAAACTCAGAAATAAAATGGCAAAGTCACAATTACGAAATGGTAAAAAGGTCCCTAAGGGTAGCAGTCTGTTTTCGCCTCTGTTGGGTCTATGAATACAACAAAAAGAAAGACTTTGATACTAGGTAAACAAATTATAGCTACCACATACACATTTCCATAAGCTAATCATTCAGAAACTGCATAATTGAGTCAATGAAGAAAAAAACAAAATAATTTCATAAATCATATTTCTATAAACTCTTTAAAATGAATATGAGCTGCTGGGGGGAAAAGATTTCTATAACTGTTAGTATTTCATACCCAGCTACAAAGCCTTTTTCAGTGTTTGAAAGACATGTCACTAGTATGCTAAAAGAGAAACCACTGCTTTCAATATAAAAGATGCTTAACTGTGGATCTTTCTTATATACCATGTTAGAATGTAAAATTATTAAAGGCAGAGACACTCACCTTTCTATATGCTTCAATGAACTAGCACTTAATAAGATTTTTGCTGGAGTTACTTTGTAGTGCTTAAACCTCTGTGATGCCAGTGTGGTTTATACAAAAAGCACACTAAGTATATATGCTTTAGAGCACCAACAAAGCCAGAGTAAAGAAACAAAAAGACTTCCTTAAAGAATTTAGTATTTCAGCAAAGGCACTGACATAGTCATCATGGGAAAAAAATCAGAATTTTACTGGACTTCTTTATTCTTATATTTTGGCTCTGTTTTTACATACATATGTGGTGGGGTGATGGGGACATCAAAACCTTTCCAGTGCTTAGGACCCCCAAAAATCTTAATCCAGTTCTGTATGCAGCTTAAATTATCATAAATTTTATTTACTCAATTATTTAGACAAAAGTATTTAACAAAAATTATAATACATATATATCTATACATAAAGAGTACTATTTAAGATTCTTCCTCATTGCAATATCTTCTCTTAGGAAGAAACCGTAATAAATGCTAAAAAGCAACTATAAATTTGAAATATCAGAAACGAGAGGGGTTAATTTCTGGTGTTGTAGTAATTCATACTTGACTCACAATTCAAGTTTAGTTACCTAAGAAAAGAGCTGTGGTTATTTTTTTTTTTTCTCAGCAGTTCTGTTAAAACACTGCAATCTACCTGGTAACCAATCTCTTTCTAGAGATTATACAGATGTTTCTGGTGTGTTTTGTTGCTAATATTCTCATCACACTTCAAGGGACTGGGTACAGATGTTGCTTAAGGATATGCTTGCTTAGAGGCCGGCTCTAATTAGACCACTTGTCATTTTTTGCTTGGTTTCATTTTGACCACTGGGTGCACCATGTAACCGTGTTGCATATTTTTAAGGGTAAAAAAATATATATATAGAAACCAGTAGTAAATTAATGGTACGTAGCTGAAAGAGGAAGTTAAAAGTACAGACTACTGGTGTCTCAGATGACTGAAATAAATGATTGGGGAAGAGCCTATTTATTCCTTTACATTTGACACCCTAACCACCCTCCCCAAACCCCAAGCCCCCATCTAAGTAGTAAAAGAGAACTTGGGCAATAAAGAAATGGCCTTGTTAGAAAACCCTTCACAAGAATTAGTGTAAACTTGTCTTCAAAATTAATTGTTTTTCTCCCTTTCCCCGAAGAAATGGAATATTTCATTGGTTCTCTTCCCTTGGAACATTAAGTCCTCAGAGTTGGTCATGATTTCCTCCCTACACCATGTCTTCAGTTTTTGTAAAAATCAGTGTGTGAAGACTTTTGCTTTTTCTGAGCACTGTTCCCGCTGTCAGTCTGGGTCTTTTCCTCCACTGCCACGGACACCTCTGCCTACAGGGACTGCCGGGAGTTGGTCTGGCAGGTGCGAGGCCAAGGCCCGGTACTGAGAGACGGCCGCGGAGTTTACACTGTGCGCGCCCCAGAAGAGGCGGCGTAGGCCTGGCTGCCCGAACTTCGAGAGCCCTAGCGGGGGAGCACGGAGGCAAACCGGCCTGCCCCGCCAAGGCCGGGGAAAGACTCGGTTCGCGCCAGCTCGCTCTCCGCCTTCCAGCAGCCAGCACCGCCGAGCCTCTAAGGCCCTGCGGCTCTCTCCGCAGCCGTCTTAATTAACAAGCCTCTTCCCCTTCACCCGCCCCCGCCTGGCTCCGGGAGTCCAAGGTTTCGTGTCGCAGACTCCATCCCGCCCGCCAGCGGGAGGAGGCCAAACCCGGCTACACCAGGCAGAACTCCTTTCCAGCTGGGGACTGGCCGCGGGGCGGGCGGGTGGGAACCGGCGCTGCAGACGCTGGGAGGGAGGTGGCGAGCTAGGAGGCTGGAGGAAGGGCGCGGGCGAGGGGCGGAGACAGGCGGAGAGCGAGCGCGAGCGCCTCCTGGGCAGTGGGCGGGGAGTGGGCGGTGCCCGGCCTTCCCGCTCCCGCGGCGCGGCAACTCAGCGGAGCCTCCTTAAAACTCTGCCGTTAAAATGGGGGCGGGTTTTTCAACTCAAAAAGCGCTCAATTTTTTTCTTTTCAAAAAAAGCTGATGAGATCGGAAAAAGGAGAGAAGAAACCGGCACCGTCTCTGCAGCGGCAACAGAAGCAGCAATTGTTTGAGCGAAAAAAGAAGCCAGGGAGGGAGGGAAGGAAAAGAGCTGAAAGGGGGACAACGCGCAAGTGTCTCTAAGGGTGAAGAGAGCAGGGACAGGCGATTTGGGGGGGACGAGCTACAAAAGAAACTGTCACTGGGAGCGCTGCGGCTCAGGAAGAACCAGTGCTCCCCGGCTCGGCTCCAGGGCACAGCTAGCTGGCGGCTGCTGCCCTGTCGGCGGCACAGGCTGGGGGCACAGGCCAGGGGACCGCGAGAGGTTGGCGAAGTGGCACCGGGTGTCGGAGCCGCTGGGCTCTCGCCGAGCGGGCGGCAGGACTGGCTGCCCTCTAGCATTGTGACGACTCCCCATACTCAGACCTTGGCCTGCGCTTCTCTGGACGCTCCCAATCTCCAGAGGCCCCCAGAAAACTGGGAAAGGAAGGAAAAGACGGCGGCGGCAGCTCAATGAACCTCTACAGTGGGAAGTCTGAACTGGCTCGGTCGTAAGCGGGAAGTTACCGGTGGGCTGCCCTGTGCAGCCGCGATGCTGCCGCGCGCTGCCCCAGCAGCCCGGAACCCATAGACGCTCCCCGCACGCCAGCTCCCTTCCTCACGCTGCTGGCAGTCCCGGGACCTGGTGGGGCCGGCATGACCGACTTGCCCGGGGCCCGCCGCGCGCCCGGCCGTCTCCGGAGACGCGCCCCGAGCCTGGCTCCCACGGCCTCTGAGGCTCCGCGGGGCTGCGGCAGCCCGGCGGGCGGGCATCGGAGCATTCCCACACGGCGTTAGCTTGAAGTTCGGCCCGGACGCAAATAAAGGCTCCTCCCGAGAAGCCGAGGCCACTGAAGAGTAGTTACGACCTGTAACTTGAGGGCCACGGAACTGCTACTCCGGTTTGCCTTTGGCGATCGTCTTTAACCCTCCGGAGCACGTCAGCATCCAGCCGCCGCGGCGCTCTCCCTGCAGAGGAGGACTCAGGACTACCCCTTGCGTGAGACGGATGGAGACCGAGCCCCTCCGAGGACTTGCCCCAGCGGTTCTGGCTCGCGCGGCTCAAGTCACCACCGTGAACAAGGGTGGGTTAATGTCTCCCCCCCCCCGCTCCAAAAAATGTCTTTTCTTCCGCGGTATTTTCTGCCCTGATCTAGACCCTTAAGTCTCCGCACACATTCCTCCCCGAGATCTGTAGTGTAGGTACGTGACAGCGCTGCTTACATTTTACGTCCAGAGTAATTTGCCAGGAATATATGTGTGTCTGTGTGTCTTTCTGTCGAGTCACCAGAATTCTTCACAGGGGTTAAGCTAAAAAGCGAGGAGTGGAGCCCCTCTCCAATGGCTCAGTTTTGCTGAATAATCACGTGTGAATCGAGGGGCGGGCTTTTGGCAGGCAGATCTTACTAGTATTTACTACCAAGCTCTACTCCAGATTAACCATCCCAGTCCTTCTGTCAGTCTCCGATGCCATCATGCAGCCTGGTTAGGAGCAAAGGAAAGGGGAAAAAGAAAAACAACTAATTCATCTTTTCCCGATCGTCAGGACCCTAAAGAATGGCCGAGCCTTGGGGGAACGAGTTGGCGTCCGCAGCTGCCAGGGGGGACCTAGAGCAACTTACTAGTTTGTTGCAAAATAATGTAAACGTCAATGCACAAAATGGATTTGGAAGGACTGCGCTGCAGGTTGGTATCCAGAGAGGTGGGGAAAACAGGTCAACAATGTTGCCTGCGTGACCCGGGCTTCTGGAATAACGGCTTTTAAGCTTTCAGGGGTACAAAATTTCACTGTTTTTAAGCCTAGTTGGTTGCCATATTTTATATCTTTAAGTGGATCCAACTCCCCAAAATGACGTACTTTGAACGAACTCGTCAAATTCAATAACACCCTCGATATCAAGTGGGTTCTAGGTTTGGTCTTAATTTTTGGAATGTTTTTGTGACGGTAGGGATTTAAAAGTAGTCCCAGGAGCGCCGAGGTGTGTGTGTGTGTGTGTGTGTGTGTGTGTGTGTGTGTGTAAGACAGCTTTGTAAACACATTATTATGATTATTATTTGAAGTAAATACACTGCTATTAGTGGTTTCCGTACTTTGCTCCAATAATTGACTTTAACGTTAATTTTCTTGACTCCTGGTGAGGGTGTTTTTCCTTCAAATGCTTCAAGTTTTGACAAACGACCTTTCCTCGTTTGGACTGGGTGGCCTGGACACGGGGACAGGATGTACATTTTACAGTTAATGTAATACCATCCACCCATTCAGAATTGAGGAGGAATAAAAAGTTGAATTTTCTAATCAGAGCTCAATTTGTAGTATTTTTGTCTCTGCAGTCATGCGGTGGTATATTCTAATTTTCAGTAATTAGATTTACAAGCAAGAAATGAAACGTGCCCAGCTGCCAAGTATTGTACCTGATCATTTTTTTCCTCCTATGAACGTTAGTTATCACGTAACTTAGTTGAAAGGCTTAGAAACAGAAAGATGGCAAAGTGGTCTTAAATAGTTGCTTTATCATACTTCTGATGGTACTCTTACAAATTATACTTATTCGGAAATGCAACACTTGAAGCTGTTTTTGAAAATCCTTTGGGGAGAAGGTTTTAGAGTGCTTTGTTGTAGTTACAAGAATTAGAAATTTAAGTGGCAGGAGATATTCTATTAACAGACGAAGTTCAGTCTGTACATTTTAAATCAGAATATACTGACCTTGCAAAAAGTCAGTATTAAAGAAGCTTATGCTTAGATACTAAATTATTTATCTTGTTATTTCAGGTAGATTCTGTGGGATGAGGATTTTTTTTTTTTCTTTGTCCAGCTGGTAGTTTTGATGATGAAAAAACCTGGTAGGTTTGATGATGACAGCAATGCTACGAATTTAATATATTGAGAAGTTTTCTATTGAAAATCCAAGATTATATAAATCTCACAAAGAATGAGCAACTTAACCCATGTTCAGAATAAGATCTTACAAGACTTTTGACGAGCAGGAAGGTTAGGAGATTAATATTGACAAAAAAAGTTTTGACATTTTTAATACAACTTTGCAATCTTGTTTATATTAAGCACACTTATCAAGATACTAACACCCACTTGTTGTGGCTTAATCCTAGTATATATAATGAAACACCCACAAACAGGAGTCTCAAGGTTTATTTTCAGTATGTATAATCCTGACTCTGAAGTTGTGTCATAACTCAAGAAAGAACTTTCTTTCAAAACAATTTCCAATGTTACCATTATTTTCTGTGAAAGATGGCAAATTTTCTTTTACAATTATGTTCATTTAACTCAGTTGCAAAAGCTTTCCTCCCCTTCCTAGTGTAAGCTTTTCATTCAGGATAGTATCAAGGGCCTTAATCGCACATTTGCTTTACAAAGATCCAAGGTATCTGCCCTTATTCTTCCCAGTCCAGATCCTTAAGTGTGACTAAATCTTTACAGGCAGAAATTATGTTGTGCTCATTTTTTACCAAAACTACATTTTATTGAAATTATCAAAAAATAAATTATGTATCATTTTTACCATTGCCCAAAGGAAGGGCTACGTCAGCAGGGTTTTATCAACAGGGAAGTTTAATATCTTGACCCTCTATATAGCTTGCATGTATAAAATATTATTCATTCTAAATGTATTTTATAACTTAATTTGTGATTATTTTTAAACAAACAACTTAAAGAGATGGATCAAATTTGTATGTATCTTCCAATGTACTATATTTAATTTCACAAACATTTGAGTATCCAAATTTTAATCTATTGTAAATTTAGATTATTATGAGTATACCTAAATATAAATGAAACCATTTAAATGCTGAACTATTTTCTGGCATATTAATGAGACTACAATTTTTTCACAACTAAATTACATGTGTTGTGTAATTGCATGCTTCTCTACAAGACATTTTATGAGAGCCCAACAGAGATCCCTTTTAGGGTGAAATGTATTCAAATAACAGTAAATAAGTCTTTGTCATGTGAACTACTTGTATGGTGATAGCAAATTCTAATACCACATTCTGACTTTTTAAATGTTGGCAGTTTACAAATAGTTATCCCTAAATGTCTGATAATCATTGCAAAAGGAAATAAGATGGCATTGCCAGTTGATTATTAAATGAGCTCAAATCCGACAAATTTGTCTGTCTCAAAATAAACATTAAATATCTTATTTTCTCCTCTCTGGCTCACCTGAAAATCACTAGTCAGACTCAGTAATATGGTAGAGTGACTGTTGAATTCTTTTCAAGAACAGTTGCCATGCAGTCAGCTCCTATCTAATGAATGGCATATCATGAACTTAGTTTTAGATAAATCAGTATCACAAGCAATGTAGAAAACCATTGCTTATTTAACATCCTACTAATCAGGAACATTTGAATATTTCAAGTGATGGATTTTAAGCACTGAATATACCTAGTAGCCAATATGAAATAACTTGCAAAGAAAAAAATTTTTAAAAAAACACTTGGAAATTTGAGCTACATCTATTTGGAGAGAACTTATGAAAATTAATAATTTAAGAAAATATCAGGTCTGGTATTTTAATAGATCATTTTTATACTAGGTGATGGAGTCTGATGTGTAGAAACTCTTGTGTGGGGATTTTAAGAAACTCTCTTTTTGGTAGCTATTTAGAAAATAAATTTTATGTACATTTGATTTTTCATAACCAATACCCCAGCTTTTATATTTTATGAGCATAAGCAAGCAAACAGAAGACTCCCAAATTCTGTTTCTTTTATTTTCATAAATTCATGAAAGTACACAATTCTCCATGGGAGATAAAAAATTGAGTTGTGGGTGTATTTTATACAAGATGGACTGGTTCTATTTTATTGATCAATTTATCCTACTTTTGGAACGGTTTAAGATATTCCATCATAGAAGCTCAATTTTTAGAAGTTTTCTTCTACTTTTACCTACTAGTACGTTCTTTCCTGCAACTGAGCCCTTCAAACCCCATCATGTGGGTCTTCCCCCAAGCACTCTTTCGCCTAAAATAAATAGCATAACATAAAAAGAAGAAGAAATGGCTATTTAAAAATAATATTGTAGGAGCGCTTGAAGGATTCTCCCGTTTTCTCTCCTAGGTTATGAAACTTGGAAATCCCGAGATTGCCAGGAGACTACTACTTAGAGGTGCTAATCCCGATTTGAAAGACCGAACTGGTTTCGCTGTCATTCATGATGCAGCCAGAGCAGGTTTCCTGGACACTTTACAGACTTTGCTGGAGTTTCAAGCTGATGTTAACATCGAGGATAATGAAGGGAACCTGCCCTTGCACTTGGCTGCAAAAGAAGGCCACCTCCCTGTGGTGGAGTTCCTCGTGAAGCACACGGCCACCAAAGTGGGGCATCGGAACCATAAGGGGGACACCGCCTGTGACTTGGCCAGGCTCTACCGGAGGAACGAGGTCGTTAGCCTGATGGAGGCAAACCAGGCGGAG